ATTATTGCTATCATTATGACTACTTAATAATTTTGAATATTATTATCAATGATCGCCATTACTAACAGCCATCATTTCAATATTCAAATCAATTTTAGTCTCCTTAGTAACGTCGACAAACAAACTTCGATAATAGGCAACGACGCCATATTTATATGTTTTTCCCTTACAGCAAAAGGAAACTATTCGGAGTTTTTGAAATGAAGAAAACATATCAGTGATAAAACATTTTAGGGAAATATTGTATTCAAATTGTATAAAACAAGGAACGATATTCATATACCACCATTCTTTGCTCGACAAAATGGCGTCGTTGTCTTTTCTCGAGCCAGTAGAACATGTGTATTTTTCGTGACGCCGTCTGTTTTTGTTTTTCTTTTAAAATCTCCTATCATAGGAGAAACCAACATTCCTCTCCTCACAAGTAGAATTGTCAAGTGTTAGCGTGATAAACAACATCCAGATTGCATTTGTGGCGCGGAGATTTCATGTGTAGTTGTTGTTTAATTTGTTTGGTTTGGTTGTTTTGTCAATTCGTGCGCATACTATCATTAGCGTCATTATTAACAGTCATATCATCATCATCATCACCACCGATCATCTTAGCTGGCCCTTCCTTCACCAATATTATCATTATTGGCAGGTGCTGTACATCATTGTGGTGTTATCAACTTTAGTCATCTAACGGACTCTTTGACAACAACGAAACGTTAACAACAACAAGAAAAACAGAGCTATACTACGTTAATAATAAATAAAAAAACATACGAATAACTGTGAACAAAAGTGAAAAACAACACCACAAATTGGATGATTACAAGCGGACATTTTACTGCATTTATATTTCAGATAACAAATTTTAATTTTAACTTAAAATTTTAATTTTGATTTTAACTTAAAAGTTGTGTAAAAAGAARAAACAACTTACTGACGTTTCGGACGTTAAATCCTTCGCTAGAGTAAAGAGACTATATTCATGTTTTTGTGTGTATTTTTTATAACTTTTATGAATATTGTTCATGTCAAATCCAACCTTTCAGCTCCAAAACTACTACATCATCTGATTAACCACAGACTATACCATCTTATATCATTTTTTTATATTCCACCAAGCTATAACCATAAATCGCTTGTTCTTATAGTCACAACAGCAGGAATGGTCTAGGAGAATATCATTTGTTACTAACTTGACTTGAATCGTGATCTTTTCTATCAATTATTATCACCGAATATAAGAACATATCACGCAACTAAATTTCAAAATTACAATCTTTCCATGCATGAAATATCTCAATATATGTTATAACTGATCAGCGCCGGCGAGTAGAAACTGACAGTAGAAACTGACAGTTTGTACAGCTACTGAAAGGAATTTTTTCTTGAGTCTACTAACCTGTTTCTTGTTGATTTTACAGCTTGAAGGCCACAAAATGCAGGTTTAACTTCTGTCGTTTTAACTAACGACTCTTTGCTCAGCTGTAAAAAAGTCCTTTTTAAGTGGCTTGTTTGTGCGTATGAATGTAAATTAGACTACAGTACTGATGGTTACAAGAGACACTTAATCAACTTGATAGCTTAACTCTGGTGAAGATATAGACTCAACAAAAAACCTAGAACTTAAGAAACGATAATTTTAGCTTAGAAATGTACTACTATTTTTGTCATCTTTAAACGATATTGTTGGACMCAGAAACTCAAACTCCGGTTGTGGAATGCGTCATTTTTCATAGTTTGTATCGAAAAACATGTTTATCGCGYACGCCAAAGCCGGAAGCTATAGTGGAGATGTTTTTAACTGTATGTGACTAATGGGGAAATAAAGYACTAAATCGTCTATTAACCAAACAAATGTCTACTTTGAAGAGCATAAAACGTCCTTAAAAMAGGGCAATGTATCAAGTAATAAATCAATTCAAGTGCTTAGAATTTCTAATAATGCGTTAGTAGTATTTTATMGTAAATTCTCTATGTAATCAAAAAAGTCAATATGATTTAAATTTTGTCATTATAATTCCTTGATTGTAACTATAAATGCAGTTAGTGTATCAATTACAGTTTGAACTGCCATGAGCCATATTTTGAATAACTATGCAAAAATTAAAGTTGGATACGTAAGGACGCTTTCCGCGCCTATAAGTTATGATGACCGAGGTAGCTTAGTGACTTTGAGCAAAGAATTTTGATTGAAGACCTTGAAATCAAACGTGCSCGTTACTGTAAGGTTGACATTKCTTTGATTACATGTGATATAGTGCCCTACAATAAATTAAACTGACACGTGACGCCGTTAATAACRATGGCAGACATTTTCAGGTCGGGAAGGAATGGGACTAGTAAACGATTGAGCATGCTCGTCTTCTCTTTTTYGGATGTAAAGAAAATACTTTGCATCATATTTATAATGTGTTCAATACCAAGTTTAGATCTATTATTACTTTCTGCCAACTTTTCGATTTAAACCGACGGCAATAAATGATATTCTTTTAGAGGTTTACACCCTTTTAGGCATTAGTTGAAAGCTAATGAGAGCGCAAGAACACCGATCTAAGGACCCACTAAGGACCCGTCGCCGCCCTTCCTGGAGATGCATTTACACCAAAGTGATATCCTACTAGATCGTCAGCTGTGTTTTTTTCCATAATCATAAAGGTACCAAGAAGGAGAATACTACTTTTGTGAAATAGATATCAGGTATATATAGCCTGAGAATGCTTTGAGAGAACATCAGATATCTCAGCTGCACTATAGAATTTACTTAAATATATTTTTGCGAAGTAAGTTGAGTGTTGTTCACAAACGCTTGAAATATAGCAATCCCATAATGCATCTCGTTTTACAGTCACTAGTTGGAAAGGACCATTAGATTATATGGACTATATGTTAGCTCGAGGATAGCGACACCATTTTTTTATTATTTTTCAGTCTATTATTAATTACAGCTTTCCATGATTATCATCTATTTGATTGTACCTGTTCACTTTTGTAACTTCGCATCCGGCATTAAATTCGTTATATTTACTGATACACTTCATAACCAATTACAGAAACATTGTCCAGAACTAAAATAACTTTTGCTATTATAGGAATTAATTGAATTACAAAAGAATGTGTTCAGCGTTCAGTGCTGATATTTTGTCTTTTAATGTTATTCCTAATTTCCTAAATCTCTAAATCTCAAGACAACGTTTGTGTACTTAGGTGTATGATACTGATTATAAATCTAAAGTCCCACTGTTGCACTTTCGATCTTTACGAGTAGTTTCACTGGCATATCAGTCTCTTCCTTTTTCACTGGCTCCTACCCATCCCCCCTCTCTTAATCCTTCTCTCCTCCACTCTCCATATCTTTCTGTGTTGTCCTATACGGTATAATACTCTTAAGCTAGACATCTACTTGTCACTACTCCATTATGCTATGAAAAAAAAATCAACTCCGTTATCTCATCAATCAAGGCTCTATTTTTCGCTTGTTTTGATAACAATCTCCTGACAGACCAAAGGAAATTCAATCTCTGATTTGGTGATGTCCAATCAGCGAGGACAAACCTGTCGTTTTCTCATCCAATTTATACAATGCTGATAGTCACATCTTTAAATTTAAGATAGTTACAGTAAAGAGGTCAATTTTCAAATCCTTTGAATGCATCAGTTTTTCTCTCGTGACAAGATGATGCACTTATGTCGATAAAATGGCCGTTTGATTGARCATCATGTCACCAATAATGAGCCGGACCACGTGAAAAGAACTCTTGATCAAAGATATCAAAAATTACGATCTACAARTAACTTATCTCTCAGTTGTYATTTGCTTTCTTTKCACCTCCTCTCCTCCCCAGGCCCCCTCGAAGGCCTGATACTCAGGTTACTGTAGCCCTCACTGATGAACAAGAATTGCATGCCAATTCGTATCAAAATCATAACCCTTTTTCACCAACAAAAATTATTTTCATCATTGCAAAAGGATAACAAAAACTCAAAAAGGGCAACTTTTAGCCCGATTTTGGTGCAAAACCAGCCTCGCCGCGCAACTTGTATTTCTATATTCCGCGGAAAGAGGGCTATTGACGGCTTTGAATTTAGTCTCAAAATTATAACGTGATTTATATAGTTGAATCTGTCAAGACCTTGATGTCATATGTGACTGACTAGGCTCCAACTAATAATATCTCACTGCCATGACCTTTCATCTACGGTTCGTAAATAGGGACTAGTTCTCGTTATTGGAAGATGACTACCCGAAGTCATGAAACTACGTGATGACCAAGCTTAAGCCTCAATATACTTCAGCTTTGTTCAGATCGAAGTTTTACGCATTCATATTGCTCAATTCGAAAATAAATCAAATATATTGAATAAGGAGAAGAGACAWAAAGGCCAGGTGGTGTTGGACGCACTTCACCATGTACGTTGCGTTGTCACGAGGAATCTCAGTCAAACGTTARAAATGTTGAAATCCAGACTATAGAAAGTGTCTACAAAAAGTGCATTTTTAAACAATTTTTAGCATTTCTGCAACAGATTATTATTTCAAATAAAGAATTGTAGAATGAGTACTCATACTGACATCATGATATTAACTGCGCCCATTACTGAACCGACGTGCCATCTTTACGGGGTGTGCTTTTGGCTTTCTTGAGACTAGCACAGTTTTCCCGTCTCCCACGAATTGCCTAAAAGCCGATGACCACTGAATGCTTTTATGATTTTTTGTTTACTTTCAGGATAATCTTTTTAGTTTTCAACAGATTTCGCCTTTTTGACTTTCGAAGATGTTTGATCCAGGATCCTTTTCGCGCCAACAACGCGTGATTGGAGCAAAAGAAGGTAGACTTTCACAAATTCGTCTCCCTTGGTCCCTCGTCACAAGCTGTGCGGGCTTGCTTACTTTAATTTAWTTTTTTTCCTTTGCAATTTTTCTTTTGAGAGTCCAGTTCTGTGTTAACCGAGTAGGAGACTGAGGAAGAGCTAGCTCAAAGCCTTGACCGCAATGCATGTTGGTATAGCGACATCCTGAAAGAACTTGGCATCAGTTATCCGTGTTGCTGTTTCCGAACTAAAACTCGAAATAATCCTTTCTAAAAGGTATGTTAGATTAAAGAAGCAATAAATTGTCAAGAAGCAATTGTTAAGTTAAGTATAGTGACCATAAATTCGTTGGAAACATGTCTTTTGAGGTAAAAATTGTAAGTTGACTCAAAGGTTCTCGACATCATGGCGAAAAAGCCACGCTTTCGCAAGCACCATGTTAAAATTCTTCATGCACTGATACTTTCAAGGTCTTTAATCTTAACTTTAGATTAGAATATAAAGTTATTAAGTTCAATATTGCATAATTTTCATTTTTAATACGATATATTTGCGAATATAAGGGCTGAAACTTGTGTATAATTTATTCTGTCCAATTCGTCGAAACATCTGCCTCGTATGATGAGTTTTTTTTATTTCGTATTCTAAAATTGGATTTACATAATTTTCGTGGATTAGCATATCGCAGAAAAAACTAAAAAATATTTAAAAAATATTAACTCTCGCGAGTTTGTCAAGATCTCATCCTCTTTGTTCATTATTTTTAGTGTCATATTTAATTTAAAATGTTTACCCCTTTATAACTTTACTTCTTTTATTTCATTGTAGTTATGGGCACAACTAAAGTATATATTGGTAACCTTGGTGATAATGGCGACAGAGATCGTATCTGGAAAGCCTTCCAGTCATTTGGTCCTATCCGTGAAGTATGGGTTGCCAGAAATCCACCAGGCTTTGCATTTGTAGAGTTCGAAGACCATCTTGATGCAGAAGACGCAGTCGACAAAATGGATGGAAAGAGAGTTTGTGACAAAACAGTTAGAGTTGAGCTGTCCAGAGGTCAAGGAAGACGTGATAGAGGTGGAAGAAGGCCATACAGAGGTGACAGAGGCAGCAGATACAATGACAGAAGATACAAYGACAGAGGATATGGTGACAGAGGAGGTCGTTACTCACCACCACCAAGGAGACGGTAAAGCATTTGAATCCATATATTTATTCATACTCACAAGATCAAGTTTCAGAATAATTGAGCTACCTGTGAATGATGAAATTGTTTTATTTGCAGGTTTATAATTGTAGCATGATTTTAATGATATTTGGCATAGATACATGTACCAAAAGTTATAATTCAAAATTGTTTAACAAACATTTGGGACGATTTTGAAATATCATAAGTGGTATTCATTCGAAATATTATTGCAAAACATTGTAAACATTAAAGTTGTTTCTGACCCTCAATTAGTGCCAATCAAACTGTTGCATTGTATCCATTTATATTGTGATATGAAAATAGAATAATACTAATTACATTTCATTTTTAAGACCTTTATATGAATTTGTTTATATGTAGTTAGGTTATTGTTTTGCAATGACATAACCCCTTATATTGCACTGTAAATAAGTCATTAATTACTATTATGCCATTTCCAGGTGGACCRCTAGGCATCTCTCATACACGCCAATGAATTTGATCCTTAGGGGCCACGCTCTATGAGGCAATAATGCCTTAATGCTGTAWTCTTCATCATCAGCATAATCTGGCATGTCGTCAGCTTTTTATGACAAGAATCCTTCAACCCCCAAAATACAGATATCTTCTCACTACACCTAGGACTTCATCTCCAAATTTCTCCAACTTCTCGTCCTTCACCTATCAACAAACTAGGCTCCAAAATTTGAAGCAACATGTTTGGTGTTAGAGATCACTTCAAGATAGTTCAGAATTTCAACTGCACATGCCACAGATGTGACTCGCAGTGCTAGAGTAGCAAACCTCTGTAGTTTTCATTGCTATTTTAGTTGCGGTTTTCGAGTCAAAAAGTCAAATCTTCCAGGCAATGAATAAAGTGCATTGTAGCTCAAGGTCGGCGCATTAGAATCACGGCTACAACTTCATAACCCTATGTTTGTCAACCACTGTGTCTATTCATTGTCGTCTTAAAAGAGCCACAACATCCAATACAACTCAATCCACCCCTACAATAAACAACCTGTGTCTACAACATTAGTTCACTAATCAGGTAGTTCATTCTGGACATCAACAATAACATAGATATACACTGTATGGTTCCAGTSAAATGGCAATCATTACAAAACCAAACAGAAAATGTATTTGAAGCARGTTTAAATTTCATGATATTGACAGCTTGGGTTTTCAMTGCCATGTGTGTTTTTGTGGCAAGTTTGAAGTTATACTAAGTAATAATCTATTTGGTTTTGTGATGATTCTTTTTTCGAATCATATAAGTGTTGTATGTTGTGGGACTGTTCTGTTCATACTGTTTGTATTACAAAAGCTTTGTATGAAAACAAATCAAGAATCAGTGCAAAAGTAATGTTCTCATTCAATTGGCATATTTCTCATAGTAATTATGGTAATATTTAAAGACAGGATTTTACGTTCCATGGTTTTTAAACTGTCAAAACTATTGTCCAGAGTAAGAGTGGCAGTTCTTGTATGTATGCATCAATTTCTCCTGGCTAGAAAATGAGCTTTTGAAGTACATCTCTGACACAAGTGCTTTTGTAATGCAAAACATGATGAAGTTATATCAACATTTACCAGGTGTATGATGTCTAGAAATGACTGGATTTTAATCATTTTCTTTTTTCATGGCAGGTCCAGATCACCACCACCCAGAAGAGATCGCTCACCAATGTATGTTGAAGTAGACTGCTTATAGTCAGTACTCCTCTCATGTTTATTATTTTGCCATGTTGACATAAATGGAAACTTTCAATTTTCTATAAATTATTTCAGGTCTATTCTTAATGCATGTTCATTTACTGATCGTTTGGTTTGATTTAAATAGGGGAGGCCATTACAGAGGAGGAAGAAGTAGATCACGCAGCCCTCCCCCCAGACAGTAAGGATATCAAGTTTCTTAATAATGTAAGAAAACTATACATTTTTTAAAAACCTTTGATCAAATGTTTGACCCCATTGAGTCCTCATATGTGATAACATCAGGAAAAGGCAATTTTAGCTCAAATATGCTGTACTGTGCTGGTAGAATAATTCAGTTGCTTCAATTGAGTGAATCAAAAGAACCATGAAATAGATTTTACATGA